ATGGAAGCGTCTGCCAGCAGGGTCATTTCAACTGTTCCCATTGTAAATAAACCTGTTTCAAGAATTATGCAGAAGCACGCCTCATGCCTTAATTCTGTCTTATTTAATTGATTTCACAACAATTTCTAGGAAGTTCTTGAACCAAGAGAATGAAGATGAAAATGTTGAAGTGAAACTGTGAGACAAATTGCCTCAGAAGTGACGTCAGGATGGCGCTGTAAGCACCTGTTAGTTGTGTTGCTTGCCACTTCCTCTTTTAAGACTTGGTTGTCCCACGTTTATTGCCTTCTTCATTCCTCTTTAAACCATCTCTCCACAAAGTGTACAAAAAAACATGCATATTGAAAGATTTGTCTATTATTTTGTCCACCCTTATTTTGATGTCACTAAGGGTGGATATGTAAGTATGTTCTGAATTATATTTTATATATATATATTCAGTATAAGGACTATAATATAATACAATACAGTTCAACAGCATCTAAAACTACAGCCTCCAACATGTCTTCTCTGGGTATTCTCTTCTAATTCACACCATAACACAGCATGTTCCTTTTGCCCACTTTTGGCACCTACTGCACGACCAGCCCTCTCCTAAGGATTCTTCTTTAGAGGACCTTTTCTTTTCCTTCCTGTTTTCCATTTCTCTTATCCCTTAAATTCTTTCTAGGAGTTTTTCTTAAGGCACAAGTAGGGCTTGGGCTGCAGGTGTGGACCCTTAAAGGTCCAGTGTGTAACATTTAAGAGGCTTTATTGGCAGAAATGGAATATCATATTCATAAATATGTTTTCATTAGTGTATAAACACTGGAATATAGGAATGGTTGTGTGTTTGTTACCTTAAAATGAGCTGTTTTTATCTACAGATGCCATGAATTACGTTCTGTGGAGTCCACCATGTTAAACTGCCATGTTAGTCATTCAGAATGCCTTAGAAAGGGCTTTTTTTTAATTTGGTCCAGAACTTAATGTCTGAACAACCATTAGATGGATTGCCATGAAACAAGTTGTTTAATTTTAGTTCATGACTAAATACATGCAAAATGAATGACATTCCCATCCACTTCCACTGACCTTTGTGTTTTATGCTAATTGGCATGTTAACACGACAGACTAAGATGTGAATGTGGTAATGAAAACTGCTCTCTCCGCATGGTAGTATCCTCATTTTGAGCATGTTAGCATACTGATGTTAGCATTTAGCTCCAAGCATTGCTGTGCCTAAGTTCAGCCTCACAGAGTAGCTGAAGACTCTTAGTCGTGTTTCTCGCTGTAAAAAGCACTAGCTTAATGTGACATCAGTTATTATGTAACATCTACATTATCAACAGGTTTAAATCCAACGGACCCACCCACCATCACTCATTATGAATGAAGCCTGGTGAATACAGCACATACAGTTCCCATTGAGGTAGTGATTCTATATGTAAGATAGAGTTCCCTTGTCAAAACCTGCCATGCAACTTGCATAGTTGCAGTAGTTGTTGACGTAAGCAGGAGATACAATAGTTAACAATGGAGGAGATTTGCTGAGGCCCAGGGTGTGAATTTTTGAATTCTTTAAATCACTGAAAACAATAGTTGCTTTTTTCCACTCCTCTACTTGTCCTTTCAAAGCTCGATATTATTGATACAATGTGACATGGCAGATGGAGGGGCCTTGGCAACCAATCTGTTTCCCCCTTCCTGTCATGTTTGAGGAATACTGCAAAAAATGGGGGATGGTTATAACCCTGTGAGGAAATGCTGGCAACCCCCTCTCTCGCAGCCATCACAGCTAATAGAGTGCAGTTTAGTGAATTTGTAATTAGCGTAGATATAATCAGTTTCAACTAAAGGGAGAGCTTGCATTAATATAATAAAATAAAAATAGATGTAAAGCAACAAACAAACAGATTTTCTTTGTCTTGCTGATATTGTGTTTCCTGTAAACACAGGTTGACACTGGCTTGGTATCTAACAAATCATGTAAACTCTAGGTTACTGGGGAAGTGGGTCTTGTGAGCTCTACAATAAAACTATTACCTGAACCCGTTATTGTTTGCGTGTGAACGTACTGAATGTCACACTTAATCCAGTGTTACAGCCATCCTGGTTTCTCCTAGTCGCAGTCTTGGGTGTTGCATAAATAATGAACTGAAGCTTGAAATCATTAACCCAGAGCTGTCAAGTAATCTATTTTTCCTTCTGACTGAACGGCATAAATCGTTTCAGCTCCTCTGGATAAACAAAAATAAAAATGCTTGATAAATGGATTGACTGACAGGAGTGCGCGCACACACACACACACACAATCACTGCAGATAGCAGAGAGCAGCAGATCTATGTACATCACCCTCTACCTCTTTTTTTTAACATGAATATATTTTTTACAGAATATGTTTACAAATAATGTCTCTGTTTCTACAGCTACATGTCCTCTGTCGATCAAGGCGGAGGTCATGCTGTGCTTCTGCCAGCAAATCAGCTCTGCTGTACAATTATACCATGTTTATTTTTTGATATTTCTTATGATTGAAAAAAAGGTAATATGTATAAATTATATATATTTTTTTCTAACAACCAACCGTATATATCATTTAATGTTGTGGTTTATAAACTCAGACTGTCCAATTATAAGAACAAATTACATCGATTTACCCTCCTGCATGTATCCATCGCTCTGCTGACAGACCCTTGAGATCACTGAAAAATCTAGAAAATCAAGAAGAAATCAAGAAAAAAATATATTATAATGTGTTAAATGTCACACTTTGACCTCGGTTAAAGAGCAAACTTTTAAAGGGTCTTCATGAGGGCAGAGGATGGTCATATTATAAAGAAGATAAAATTATGAATACTCACCACTGATAATACTCACACAGGAGCAACACATTTTATTGGCTCTGTGTCTGTGTTTCTTCTGGGAATCATGTATGATAGATCTACATATGTAGCACAGCTACATATAGATCAATCTATACACAACTAGAATTTACATTGTCCTTTTTCAATATGGCCTGTCATACAAACTGTTGATATTCGCCTCCCATAATATGTGTCAGCCTGTGCTTCATGAATAGATTCTGACAGGCAGCGTGTGGGATGTCCCTTTGATGAATCTGGACTTGTGTTCTCTCTGAGCAACCGCTTATTACTGCCAGAGTAAAAAGGCTGAAAATACACAACACAATCTATTTGATCACATTTGGTGTTCTGTGGTGTTACTGACTGAGATTAAATGGGTAGTCACCAGGGTTATATTGTAAATAGAGCACCAAACCTGTGGCTAAAGACAGGGTCCAAAATGTTATCCATCCATAACATGACAAAGCATAGATACGTTTTAGTTTACAGCAACATAACAAAGTTCATAATAATCTATGGCCACTTTGAAATTCTCTTCTTCCACAGTTGACTTGACATTTGACTTACACGGGTGTAATCCTGAATGATCACAATGCCATTCATTTACACCTGTGCTTTTGCTGCTATCACAAGTCAAAATGTTCAGCAGGAGAAAGGTATAATTATTTTTTTTTACTGCCTTGGCATTACTTTTACACATTAATCTCCAGACACATACATTTATAAATTAGAATATTATACAAACTGTGAAAAGTGTTGGTCTGTAATCTAACATTTATAAAGGATATGTCTGGATTAACCTACAGTCAAATGCACCAAGATGCTCAGTCAGGTCGATGTTGAGATATAATGTACAGGGGGCTAATTGCAGGGATGAATCAGCATAAAATAATTCCAAGATATCTGAGATATCACTGTGACTCACTGCCATGGCTTACTGACACGCCTAACTGGAACAGAGCCATCATTAGTGTTATTTGTTGCACCTGTGCCTTTTCCTGAAATGGCAAATATCCATTGTGAGAGAGGTCTATTTTCAGTGTGCTTGTGGTGATTATCATAGCAATCTCTCTCCTCGGCATTACGTCCATTTTATCTGGGGCACAAAAAAGGACCAGAGAACAAGTCAAAATGAAATGTTCACAGGTGCAGCTACACAATTACTTTTAAAGTGGTTCAATTTAATTGTTTAGAATTATGATGGCAGAACATGCATGCAAAACTATTATGGACAATTTCTACAAATCTCTACAAATACAGTACTTTATACAGCTTACGTCAGTGTTTTATGGTGTTGCCTACCAGTAGTTGGTCATAGTGGCCTTTGCATATTAAGATGTTTTGTCTTTACCATACTGACGTGATCAGGATTAGGATTTTCTGAGGATAATGTTTGACTGAACAGAACAACACTACAACAATACTCTAAACCACATTAACTGGAAAAAGCTGACTGCACCTACATCTCAAAGGTCGATGTGACTGACCACAGCAGGGGCTAGTGTTTACTTATAGGCTAACTGTGTACATCAGGCCATTTGTTTTTCTGCTGCTTTTCTCTGCAGTAGGTGTATTCTGGGAGGGCATGTGTGATTGGCTGACCCTGATGAACCTTGACCTGAGAATGACCTCCAGTGTGATGTACAATGACAACAAGGTTTAAGGTTTTATAAACGTGTCCAGCTTTCCCTGGTAGGGGGGCCTGGTGTTAATATGAGCTGTGGGCCCCTACTGACCCCCTGCTGTCTGTACATTATGTATGTACACTGTCAAGTACAGTCCATACAGCAGACTACATATGGAAGCTTAGAGAGCCAGAAAACAACCAGTGCATGCACAACTATCCTATTTTGTGTTAATTAGATTAAAGGTAAATATTAGATCAGATAAAAAATTGGAATATACATGACGTAAACACAATCTTTCAAATCTAGATTGTAACACAAGTCGCTTCTACAAGGCAGAGAGAAGGTAAGTGATGATAACTAATTCAATTGCATACCAAAACAACTTAACTGTAGCAAAACAACTCATTTCAGGACTAGTTTCCCTACGGAGTGCTTTTTAGTGACACGGGAAGTGAGCGTTACCAAGCAACGCGGCCGTTGCCATGGTAACGGCACTTGTCTCCGAGTTAGTTTGTAGTGCCTGAAGTGACGTTAACGAACAAACCTAGCGCTGAGCTCTACTAATAGCTCACCGTAGCGATGAGTTCACGTGTTTGTTTCAGATGTTCCTGACGTTACGTACCGCGGCTCAGAGACCGGCTGCTCGTTACTGTTAACTTTAGCAAACGTTAGCTAAATGGAGTCAGAGAGGACTGAAGGAAAAAACATGCGCTCTCAGAAACACAACGCCAGTGCCAACGATAGATGGGTGTTTCTCACCCCCATGGTAAATACCACTTCTAATAGACTTTCACCGTCGCTTCACAGTACAATGCTAAAACTTTAGGCGAACTATTAAAAGTTGAAGCCCCAGGCTCAGAAGAGAAAAGAACCAGTTCTTGTTAGTTGAAGATAGTAACCTAGCTAACATATATGTTAATGTTTGAATATGCTTGAGGGGACTGTGTCTTATTTAATGCAACACTGTTGATCTGTTGGTAAAAAAAATCCCCCAAAATGTTTGCAGGTCAACAGCTGCAAGTTGCACCTTACCACTGTCAAATCAGTGGTACCAGAGGGAGGCCAGAGGGTGGTGAGCAATGACACACAACACACACACAACACACTGAAGGACACTGTGTTGTCCATGCATGTTTCACAATTTATCATGTTTACCACTTCACAGACTGACTCTCAGGATCTTGTTAAAGAAAAATACATGAATACCGCCCATCATTTTAACCCAGGTAAGCTTGACCATTTCACACACTCACCCACCCACCAATCGCCCAAGAGGTTCTTGTGTGATTCAGCGGTGTATTGTACATTTATGAAGTATGTAAATGTTTGTTTGGACTCTTTGTTTCACTATATTATACCCTCTGTAGAAAACAGGTTGCATGCATTCAGCCAGAGAGGACCTCAGGGGCCATCGTTTGCCGGTGACTCTACAGATTCCTCTGCACATAATCGAGTGCCACTAGCGAGTGGTGCTCATGGTGGTTTGGATGCAGTTTCACAAGAAGCTAGAGACAAATCTAGGTTATCAATCCACAGTGGAGGAGCCACTTACTATCGTAATGCCTTAAACCTTCCCAGGCCAGCAGGTAATTATGGCAATAACTTGGCAAATATTATGGGATTTATCTCAGATTTTAAGACTTAAATTTTGTACCCTACAAATACATAACATTGTTTTTTATACAGTGCACTATAAGATTATGTTTATCTTGAAGTCATTGTGTAATGTCCATGTCAGGTGGTTCTGGAGGATATAGATACAATGCAGTCCCTGGTTTTCCATTCGCTCGATTGCCTTGTGACAGTTTTGCATCCAGTTGTCAACGAATCGACTTGGACAGGTACCTCTGGTCTCTTTGATTTTCTAACAGATTAGGATTCTACGTGTGTGGATAAAGTCTGTAAACTGGACATTTGATCGTCATGTCATGTGTCACGACAGTTCTACGTATCAGGTGCTTGCAGTGTCTTTAATAATCTTAATAATAAGTTTTGTTGTTGTTTTTTAACTCAGTCTGGCTGTCAATGTATCTGCAGTAGAAATAAGCATTTCTCTTGAAATGGCAAGTGCTTCGGATTGCCACCAGGGAGCAGCAAAGTCCCTTAAAATCCCCAGCCCTTGTCTCCAAAGATAGGTGTTTGCTGACAAAGAACTACTTCACTGGTGACAGAGCAGACATAAGTCAATCAGTGTTTATAATAAAATACTAAATACTAGATTGCATGGCTTGAAGGTGAAATTTAGTTGCTATGTCAAGAAAATTCAGCGCAGATCTGCAGTCCTCCATATGAAGCCTAAATCGTTCTAAATGTTCGTTTAATTTCCCAGGCGTGGTCTGGAGGAATGTCCCCAGCTGGGCATTATGGATGGACTACAGCTTCTCAACCTCCAGCACAATGTAATCACAATGATCCAGCATCTGTCGTATCTGCAAGACCTTGTTTTCCTGAACTTGTATGACAATCACATCTCTGAAATGACTGGCATTGAGGCTCTAAGCTCTCTCAGGATCCTTATGTTGGGGAAGAACAGGTTGGTTGTCATCAGTAGATTCAGAAGCAAACAAACACCAAAATATGTCATGTCTGAATTGCCTCTATCACCAAGATATTACTGTGCAGTTCATATTTGTGGTAGTGAAGCAAAAGATTCAGAATAGGTGACATTTTATTGATTTCTGTTTAATGTGAAAGGTGTTGCTTGTAGGTTATTGAAGACATCGTCTGGTTTGCATGTAATGTTAATACATTTTGCTAGCTACTGCTACATGGTAAACTTTTTTCCGTAAGGTGCCCAGTTTAATTTGAAAAATAAAAATTTTGGTGTGGGTGGGTCATTTGCCAATGTTGACAGGAGGAAGATTAAAGTGACAAATGACATCAGGATCTTACAGACGATCGCTGCCATTTGTTTCACTCTCTTTAAAACATGACATTTGTCTCTTTGGACCTATTTCCTAGGGACTTGAAGAGTAAAGAATACCACTGATTTAGCTTTCCACTGGCATTTTTCAAGAGGCAACAGCCTGTCCTTGTGTAATCTGATCTAACTCCATGTGGACAGTCCTGAACAATAAGTCACTGTACACTACTGTATGTTCAGTTTCCTCTGGGAATGTAACCTTTTAATACACTTGTTGGCCAATCTGATGTCCTCTGCTTGCTACCTGTTCAATAGACACACACACTTGTGTATTTTCCTATGGATTTCCTTAACATTTATCTACACCTGCTACATTTCAGAATGGGTGTTATTGTTTGACAGACATTGTGACAGATTGTATTTCATGTACTTTTTCATGATATATTTTTCATTTTATGTCACTTCTTCCTGACACCTCTCAGAATCCATAAGATATGTTGCCTGGAAAGCCTGTCCAAACTGAATATCCTGGATTTGCATGACAATCAGGTACTGTTCCTTCACTGTCCTCCCACCTACAGCGTGTGTGTTTAGTCTTGTTCATTTAGTTGCTGAAACTGTAACAGGAGATCACGATGTTGAGCTGCAAAGTTCAGTAGAAGTGGATTGTCTCTCCTACCTCCTCCACATTATGGCTAACTAGTGGTTTGCTATGTGAGATGCAGCTCTCTAAATGCTAGAGTCAAACAGACACGACAGCAGGAGGCCATGTCCTCATGTTCATTCTAAACCCTTCATCTAAGTTCGCTGGCCTATAAAATGTCAATTCAGGACATACATTATAGCCAGATTGCCTACTTGTTACTGTGGAGTTGTTACTATTGAGTGTCCTCAACTGTATTAGAAACAAAGAGCTCATGTCTGGCATTTTTTTTCTGTTTGATATTGCAATGTGCTGTTATATTTCCCAGGACCGTTAGAGAACAAAGAACTGAAAACCATCAGAACCCACAAGCTCTTGTTAAGGGTCTACTCCCACATCCATTTCCTCAGTGACCCTAGCATAATTTATTCAACAGGCACAACTGTTTCTATGTTTTCAGCATTGGGAATGGGTATGAGCTGTAGCAGATTTTGCTGTCCTTCAATTAATTTGAGTCTAAATCTATTATTGGGGGCTGTTTGTTCAGCCTCCGCAATAGAGCGCGGCTCACTCATCTTAAAAGCTTGAGAGATTCACTGATGTCAGATGAGGATTTTAACAGCTCCTGGAAAAGGAAGCCAGAATAGAAAGGCTTCCCTTGGTCAAATTAATGTTTTGCCAGCATTCCACCTACGCCCCTCTTCAGAGAGCTCCTCTAGAGCTCTGCTAAGACTCCCTCTCTCTCTGATGTTGGCTGCTCTTTGCATGAGCAGGCGTCCCAATTACTATTCAATGACGGCTGCAGTGTTGTGTTATTTTTCCTGACAGAAGCTACTTTGTTGTCTCAAACTCTGACCACTTCCTAACTACATCTCTACAGTTAAATTAAACAATTTTAGTAATGTGACAGTTGAATGAGCGACTTTGACTCCTTCGCCTTTTGTGCTGTCCTTGGTAATGAGAGCACATTTCATTCGGAGGTAGCCGTATTGTTGGCAGCCGCCTATTGAGGAGCAGATGATAAACCTATTACAGATTGCTTTTCACTCACTGACTTCAAAACCTCCTGTTTTGTGAGCTTAAATAACTGTTCAATCACCTTCACTAAACGTTTTACAAACTCACCAGAGACCTGACCACCCAAATGTAACGTGAATTGCTGCACAGTGATGGAGTGAGTGACGTCAGCGAGAGAATTATGGATGGATGAATTAAAATAATGTTGAAGTCATGGTTATTCTACCCAGTCGGGTTGTTGTTTAGTCATTCCCGGCCATAGAACACCAGCTGCTTGTCCTCTTTTCCTTTTGTGTGCATGCCTTAACCACAAGTAGTTCATCACTGTCACCCTTTCTTCCTCCCATCCTCTAGCAGGGAGGCTCAAATCACTCCCAACCTTTCTTTCTTTTTACACATTTATTTGTGTAACAGGATGTTGTTTCATTTCCAGTTTGCTGGAACTATTCAAAACAAGATATTCTCTTTGGGAGTGTGCATCCAACCCACATTTGGTCTCAGTGACCAAGTGTTGGGGGTTACAATGTGACCTGACATTGTTGGATAACCAGTCTTTAGTTAGGCGGTGATGTTTTCCACCCGAGCAATTTGAAGAGGACAGTGGAGAATGCCCTACAGCGTCTGTAAAAGTATCACAGAGTTAGAGAGGTTGGTTAAGCTCATGTCCATTGTAGAAATAATACCCCTTCTACAAATCAAGATGATGCTTTTGATTAAGTTTGACTAAATCTGTCCGGTGTGGTAAGCATAGTACTCTGGGTTAGGCTGAAGCTGGAACCGAAACTCCTCACAAGGATGCTCTAGGCTTTGCTGTTAAAAGTGACACCTGTAACACAAGGTTATCTTTGTTTATGTCCTCTTCTTTGACAACACAAGGCCATTATATGAAATCTTTAATGTGATTACTGTATTGTTTACAAAGAACATGCCAGGAGCTGGTGTTACTCTCTCCACTTCTTGGCATGTCCCTCTCAACCATTCCACTCAACTCCTCAGACAAGAACAGTCCTCTGTCCTGTCTGCAAAGCAATCTTTGTTATAATTCACATTTTTTTCCACAGTTTTCGCCTAAGATTTAACAAACATTATAGACACAGCAATCTTACATCCATGTCCTACTTACCTCAAGTCTAGTAAGATGAAACGGTTACTGTGTTTGAATCATCTTAACATTATGGATGCCTGACCTACACCTCTGGAAAGTACCGAATTCATGTTGTGTAACACAAGATGCTCAAATATTTACAAATGAATCTCAAATCTGCTTCAGTGTATGTAGAGATACTGTGTCTGTGTGTTGACAGAGGTCTGATATGCCGACGCCTGCCTTGCTTAGGTCAGGGATGCCCAAGTCTGGGCCTGAGATAATGTTAACCTTGTGAGAGTGTTTTTTTCTCACCTTAATTTATTCAGGGAGTGTTGATGGCTGGTTTCCATCCACTGACTGCTTTACATTCATGCATTTGCCTTCCTGGTATTTGAACCAGAAACCTGTCACAAGCCTGCCTCTCTAACCCCTTAGGTACCATTGTCCTGTCGGTGTGTGATTGTGTGTTGACTGAGAGCATTCACGTCAACTGTGACACCACAGTACAACTATTCTGAATGCAGACTAATGATCTCATGCTGTTCATCCATCATCAGGTGTTTGGGGTGGACTTGATGCACTCAGTTTACTGGCACTTTTACTGAACAATGCTGCCCTCTATATATGCACGCACTGTCAGTAAAAAATCAGAGCCCTAGCAATCTACCCTCCCTGGTTTTTGATTTTCAACAACATTTGTTCATTTAACGTACATTGCTAGAAGGTGTAAATTTGCCTCTGTGGCCAATATTCAGAGACTACTATGCACTTTTATGTCTATTGTAATGAGTTCCTGTCTGAACTCTATAAAAAAAGAAATACATCAACTGCAATTAATCTAAAACTCTGCAGCTAGAGTGCTGACTACGACCAGAAGGAAAGCACTATTGTATTACTCCTCACGCCACAGTGGGTCCCCATAGGTTTTTCTTTATTAGTTTTTACTTGTATGAACCTTCTCAGACCATCTGTGGGTGCCACAGCTTTCTAAAAAAGTTGTGAAACACAAACTCAAACCCTATCTTGCATCTTATCTTTATCTGTGTTTCTAATTTTTCAACTTCTTTTTATTATTTAATTCTGTTTCAGATGACCTATTTAACATTTGCAGTAATCGTTGAGTATTTGACAGAATCTTTGAACCCCTGCTGCCCTTTTAACCTTATCCTCACATGTACAGTGTGCGCTATAGGTGGCAAACACATCTTCTTCAGGGTAAAAGCCACCAGGAATTCTTCAGAAGTATATTTAAGTGACAGGGCCCCATAAGTATTCCTCATAACTGTTTATCATTTCACCCCCAACTTCTTGTTTGTTGTTCCTATCTGGGAGGTCAAACAGGAGTCACGGCTTGATGCGACTGACTGTCATTGAAGATGTTCACAAGTGATACAGATTGTTGCTGTGAAATGACTCACTGTGAGGTACAGAGAGGAAAGGAAATGTCATTTCTGTTTAAGTGTCATTTAGCATAAAGTGTTGCATTGCAAAGGCATTGCAAAGAAAATGGAGCATGCTGCTTTTTGTCTCTTTCGCCTTAAAACCTTTGGCTGTGTTCAGGTTAAATAATTCTAAATAGATCTGAACCATCTGATGATCTTAAATACATGATTTGAATGCGAGTGTGCACTGAATCTGTACAGTTCCAGTTGTGTTAAGCTCTGCTTACCCTTCCTCTCTCTGTGTCTCTATATGTACAATATGATTATGCAGATTGCCATTTTACGTGATTTTATCTTTGTCCCACTGTGCTTTCGTACAGATCGGCAGGATAGAAAACATGTCTCACCTGGGCGAGCTGCGAGTGTTGAACCTGGCAGGAAACAGCATCTCCAGAGTGGAAAAACTGCAGGGCCTGGACTGTTTGACTGAACTCAACCTCCGACACAACTGCATCTCTGTTGTGGTGAGGGGCCTCTTTCCCAAGTAGTGACAGCTTAAAGCATTTTATTCACTCCATGCTCACTATTCACACCAATTGTTCACAGGGAACAGAATCTCGTTTTCATTCCAAGGCTGAATTTTCTGCCCCCTCTTTGTGGGGCTTCTATTTCCTTTTATGCAAGCAGGAGTTAGAAATGTTATTAAAAAAAGTAACTGAACACCTTATATTAATGCATCATACAAATGTGTTGAATCAGTGTGCCTTGCAGCTGCCTTGTGGTTTGTTAGAGCTAGGGATGGTGCTCAGCTCAGGTATTTACTATCCAGAGCTGGTGCTCAGCAGTTTCCTGCAGTTGCCAATGATACATTTTCTTCCTCCTGCATTTTGATGAACAAATAAGCGCACACACAAGCACGTTCCTTCATCTTTCATCTTTGTGTCATTCCTTTGGATCACGTCTTTTTACGGTTTCCTTTGTTATGGGATCACATGTAGCAGTTTTCACTGTCACAAAATAACAAACACAGAAATTACATCAATAGAATCTTTGTAAGAAAGTCTGTGGTGAAATGAATCTCGGTGGTGTTACCGAGGGAGACGTTGCTCATTACCCACAACCTCCCACCAACTTTCTGGCACAGTGAAAGAGAAACTGGATATTCTAAACATGGAAATCCACTCCCCTTGGTTTCTATAGTTTTAATCTGATAAACAGAACAGTGCATGCCAAAACAGGCCCCTTCATTTGTATGCAAATCCCCTAAGCCCTTTCCTGCTTTTTGGGGTAGAAAGTACAAACAGAATCCAACATTGTGTTGTATGAAACCTCTTCCCATCACTCACCCTGTCCTCTTCCTGCATGTTCTGATCACGAACCACTTCCAGTCCTAATTATCGGATGCAGTGTTTTATTTGACAAACAGCAAAGGAAAAATGCTACCCCTCAGCAGATTCTCCAGTCTCTGTCATTAGTCGTGTTTGCTGCCAAGTGCGTCTATCAGGCTCAAAGTAAATAACCATCCTCCAGGTGTCCAGGTTTGCCTTTCATTCAAGGCAGATGAAAAGTGGAATTCAGGACTAGAAAAAAAATGCTGTGAGTGACTTACAATAAGTAAGTTTAATATATATTTAAATATATAAGCATTATGTTATATGTTTCTAGTCTAGTTGTTTGGCACCATCTAAATGTTGTAATCCACCTTTTTATTCATAGTTGTAACATCATTTTCTTCTTAAATCCATCACTTTATCATATAAATGACACTCTAATGCTTACAGCCCAATAACGAATAACACTGTGGTGATTCAAGATAAAATCATTTCATAAACCTTTTGATGTTTACACTTGCTCTCAGGTGGGTCTTTCTATTGAGAAATCCTCAATAGTCAGTAAGTGATGCATTTTACATTTTTGGCAGCAGGAACAATGATTTGTTTGGAAGAGCTGTGTAGTCAGCATGAGAAGCATTGATAAACCGGACATAGCAAAAAGGTGACTGGCTTTATGGATTAGCAGGAGTTTTTCTACTGTGCTTGTCTTCTTGTGCGGCCAGTAACAAGTCAAGCATCACTACAGTTGAAAATGCTGTTTCGTAGCTCTGCTGTAGGTTAGTCAGCTCTTGTCTGTGTGTGTCTCCTAATTTCTCCTTGCTAACATAGCATATTTTTGAAATTTTAAACTGAGGGTATCTAATAAATTAAGATTCTGCCTCAAAGCACTGTGAAAAATATTCAAATTAAAACTTGAATGATCAAAGACAGTGTAAATATACACGCAATAATGTGGATTTTTTTTGTAATGCCCAACTGCTCAAAATGTGAAGTTTAAGAGAAGAAGCATAAAAGCTAACTTGAACTAACTGAAAATCTAAATTATTAAGTCATGTCTGCAAAGTGCAGTGCAAAAACACCAGATCTGTAGTCTCAACGTGTATATGTGCATAATGCACAGCATCTGCTTTTGTAGCGCACAATACCTGAGACCAGATGTGTGTCAGCTAAGCTCACACCTCAGAACCTCAAGTCTGTGCTATTCAAAGAGCATCCACAAAACCCAACAGCTTTACAACCCTTAGAAACCCCCTCCGCATCCACATGTACCTGTGTTTGTTTGAGCAGTTTCATGCTCTTTTCTGGTGTGTTTTTTGCATGCAACAGAGTCAGCGGTGTTGAAAGGTGGCTCTGTGTTTGTGGAGTAATGCATCTGCAAGAGCTCAGTATGAGTGTGAAAAATGAAGACACGCAATCTGTCAGTGGGAAGAGGGTGGAGCCGCAATAAAGAGGTGAAGGCACGGGCACAGAGACACATAAATACACACCCGCAGGCAATAGCAGCGCACACAAACACAGCAGCACAGCTGTACCCGACCTCACATCAGTTCCTCTCAGCCGATTGGTTCTGATCAAAAAGAGACCACATTGGTGGGCGATTGTTATGCAGCACATCAGCTCAGTGATGACATCATTCTGTCTGAGACGTGGCTGCTATATTTAGTCTCAGACAGCGTGCAGTGGCTTCACCAGCATCCATACAGAGACAGGCACAGACAGAGACTCTGGCAGCATTGTGGAGGGTCCAGTTAAGCTAGCACTGGATAGCATGACTTGCAATTTTTTTAAAGAAGGAGAGAGAACATGCCCCTGTATTGCTGATGTACACAGTAAAGCATTACACAGCCAATATGACAAGAGGGCCCACACGGTCTTAGTCTTAATACAACCATTATGTTTATTCTATGTGTTCAATATTCTGTTCATAAGAATCATAACTTGTCTTCATACATCATAAGTGTCAAAGTGATTTAGTTTTACCACCAGGGAGCAATGAGCCTGGATTATCAAAAAAAACTGACAAATGTTAAGACCAATATTTACTTGTCTATAACCTTTAACTTTGACTCACCACCATTTTGTGCTGGACAGGTACTGTATTGCTTAAAGTAAATTGAATGCTGGGAAAACAACCAATTACCAAAGTAACCCTCTAAGTCCATACACACTATAGACACATAAAACACTTAGGAAACAGACAAAGGCTCTCTCTAACATTGTTTCTCATGGTGCAGGCTGTACTGAAACAAGGATGAGTAAGTGTACTATATTTATATGTTAGTGTGGACGGGCGTTGATGAGACTGTGCTGCAGTGTTGTACTGTTCACTGCAGCGGAGCTAGCATAAACTCAATGCTGGGCTGATCTGTCATTTGAATGGAGACTGCCAACAGTTCTGGAGGAGGCTGCGAGGCGGTGGCTGCATTATGGGCGGACGCTGACGCAGCTCATTCAGACTGCTGCTGGGAGTGTCCTCTTTGCTTCCAGCATGTGCAACACTGGCCATCCACACACACACACACATACATACACACACACACCCAGACCTTGACACTACTGAACGTGATTTCCTCCCACACTGCCATCTGATTAGCTTAAGTCTTTGCAGTGGTGACATTGCCTGCGTCCCTGTGTACCCTCTTCAGCTTGCCAGCTGGCCAGCTGCTGCTCCTCACCCCACCCCCCTTATTTAAATTCTGCATTGATTTTGATGCCTGATGAAGAAACAACCCCTATTCTGTTTCGTTTCAATTAAATTCAACCCTAGCTATTGTTCTTGCATGATGAGGTACAGTAGATAGCTGCTCAGAGTGTGTGCGACTGGATGTGTATCTGTTCCAGTGAGCATTTCATGTTAGCTTTCTGCAGCAGGGGATCTCTGCATTAGCGCAGCACACACTCCGCTCTCTCTCCCCTCCCCCCTTCCTCCTCATGTTCTCTCTCTCTTTATCCTGCCCCTCCTCTCCATGTGCAGAAAAGGCAGCGTGCTGTATGTGTGTGTGTGTGTGCATGCGCAGGGTGGATAGGGATGCTGTATACTGGAGCTGAGAGCTGCAAGGTGACTGAGGGAATGGAGAGGGATACAGAGCTCTGACGACAGTGACGATGCAGTGCCCTCTTCCCGAGCACCTTCTCCTCCTCACATCCCTCCATCTCTCTCTCTTCCCTGTCCCTCTTTCTCTTTCTCTTTCTAGACTGAGGTGGACCGCCTGCCCTGCTTGCAGCGCCTCTTTCTCAGCTGCAACAACATCACCAGGTAAGAGCTCGTACCGCTTAACTCCCTCCTCCCCACAGGGCAGGGACAGGGATGGTGGCCGGACAGTTCCATGTCCACTTTATTGTCAGTAATAAGCATGCTGTTACCTAAGAAATGGGTGTGCCAATACTTGAAAGTTATTCAGACAACAGTGAAGCAGGCTGAGAGAAGGTAGCTCACCTCCTCGGAAAATTAATGACAGATTGAAGGTTGGGAGTAGCATTGCTAGATAGAATGAATGACAGGTGTATTTTGTTTCTTAGTGCAAATGTCAACCTACTTTACACACCTTTTCCAATATCTGTATTTTTTTTAGTTTTTTGTTCTTTGTTTCTGCCTCTCCGAGCCTAGCAATCAAGATGTCATAGAGTTAACTTGTAAAAGAGCCACAGCCTTCTCACTGAAATAAGGCTGCTTTAAAATTGTGTTTCCATAGAGGAGGGGCCTGTGTGTGGTATTCGGGGTCAGACGGTGTTCATTAGCCTCCTTCACCATAGTCACCTTGTGCTGTGAGAGATCTGACCTGACATCTCAAGCCAGCTCTGCTGTTCTAGTGTCTGTGTGATACCCTATCTGACACACTGTTGAGAGAATCATGACAAAGAAATAGCATACAGTGTCAGTCTGTAGTGTAATGAGGAGTTTAAGAACACAAATTTGCTGCCCCTTGTGTGGTTATTCAAGTAATTTCCATAATATGTACACTCACACAATTTTTTGCTTCTTCATAATCTTATAACCATTATGGCCCTTCGGTAAAGGCGTTTTAATTAAAACTACTCTTTTGAATGGATGCTCACCTTATTAGTGAGTATATCCCTTTTGAAACTGTTCAATGCTGATAGGAGAGCAGTGCTCTGTTGCTAGGTAGAGGGACAGAACACACTCGTCTACGTGGTGCAGTGAGTTTGCACAGTAGAAGATGTTGGAGCAAAAAAAAAAAAAAATCCCTCAGTGATCTTTGCAGTCATTATTTCACTCATCATTATATTGCGTTTATGACTTAACCTGCCTGAATTAAGTTAGATACCTTATGAAACCGGAGCCGGGCAAGACTAATAATGACAAGTCAGTAAAGAACAATATGCAGGGATTGTAGTGCAACCACACCTCACTCTGCACATACAGCACACAAATATTTATTGGACCTTTCGATAGCACCCAGTGATAGGTGCACGTAGACGTTTCATTACTGCAACTATTATTGAGTGGCTTTATCATAGTAACAATACCCAAGAGGCCATTGGTCACTGTGATTATGACTGCAATAATTATGCAAAATGCATGACATGCAGTCAAGCACCATTGATATCTCTCAAGTAATCACTCATAATCACTGTGAAAAATTGCCTTTTCATAATTGCTAGAATAGAATTGTCTCTATTATAAGTAATTATGTGAAATGACACAGTACTAATAATAACACATAAAAATGCCCTAGGTTACTGTTTGTGGGTCTGGGGCTATTATCAGTCTATGTTCCAGTACAAAAGAGAAGTCTATGGCTGTGCCTACTCTCTTACTGAGATAAGAGAGAAAATAATACTCTGATTTGTTTAACTTTCTGATTCGTCCTGTTTCCTGACTACCCCAAATGAAATTTGAAATGTGAAATTTTGCTTTGAATCTGGTAGAGCTGCAGCTGTTCTTGCTTCAATAGTTCATCAGAGGTTTATTATCTGACCCTGTTTTGCATCCAAAGAAACCTCTGGCTAGTATCAGGCGCAGTGCAGTGTAGTAGGTCCATAAGTGGTTCCAGGCATATGATTCATCAAGCTTATTATCACAAATTAGCAATGATAGAATCTCCACTGCCTTACATAGCATGACTGTGCTTTTTCATGCCTCCTTTTGCCACAGGGTGACAAGTGCAACAGTGTAGTGGATTGTTCTCTCTTCATTGCCCCCTGAGTAATGTCAGGCTGCCAGTGTGCCTGCTAAATTACCAGTGTCTTGTTTTAGCCTGGCTCCATTCTGTCAATACAGGCCTAAATTAAAGGTTCAAGAATCAAAACATAGATGGGGGGCAGTTTTCTTGTTTGACTTATCCGGTGGATGAATCAGACTTCCCAATACTGTGTCAGGTCATCATGCCTCTGTATCATTCAGTGTACCTTGTTTTTTGTATTGAAAACATCTGTGCATTTTAACTCTTGATCTCATTTAAACAGATTTTTTTCTTTGTGTATAGTTTTGATCAGCTAGCCTGCCTTGGAGAGTCACGCTCCCTTTCTGAGCTCACCCTGGATGGGAATCCTGTAGCCCTGGAGACATGGTACAAGCAGGCCGTCCTGCGCTGTGTGCTTCATCTGAGACAGCTGGACATGAAGCGCATCACAGTAAGGCTGAACTGCTTACCTTTGTCTGTGTGTACAAGAGGAAAAAGTGACCCCTGGCCAGATTCGGCTAATTATAGCTGTAGCTGTTATTGTCTGTAGTTGTCTGACATGTTTTCTTTATTTCTACACATTTAAGACAGTGAATCACATGATCAAAGGGGAGAATCTTTTTTTTTCATGCTATATTGCCATTATTTAACATGTTAAACAGCGAAGAGGCCAACTCATGTAGAGTTGTGGCAAACCTAAAGCTTTAAAACCCTCACAGCTCATGACTGTGTTGTACTTTTACAAAAGTTAGTGTTACGTACATTGACATGCTGCTAATGGGCCACACCATTATGTCACCATATGTTTCTGACAGCACTGTACATGTTGATTCTTGAGCGTGACTCTGACTTGACATAAACTTGATGATTTCACAGTTCAGTACAAACTTAGGTTGAAGCCACATAGGCAGTCTCCCATTCACCGTCAGTGGGGCATCTCCAAGCTCCTGTACATATTGACAACGCTATACTCTTAGTCTTTGTTCTTTGACATTGGTGCAGCATTCATCATGTTCTCGGTTGCATCAGTGACTAAACTATAAACCAAGCATTTAGAATACAGTCTAACAAAACAATGATTATTCTCAAGCATAGATATGTAGTCATTGTATTTATATAGCATGCCAACAAAATGCTACAGTGAAGTATCAGCATGTTCTTAGAGTCTGTCAAGCAGGGAGCACCCAGGTCTGAGCTTGTACTTTAAAGGAATCTGTAGTACCACACACCTTGCCCTCAGAACATACTGTGGATAAAAAAAAACCTTGTAACTCCAATTTCAGCAATTTTCATGTTTTTACTTGAATTTTAGGTATATGGTCCTTAACAGGTTTAGCAAGTTTAGAGCCCATTAAACCTCTCCAACAAACTGCAGTCTGTAGCTGTCAGTCCTAAAAACAGCCATGACGTTTTATTTCCACAAGGTTTACTTTGGGGAAATGTAAAGTTTTGATTTGACAACAACGTCAGCTAGGACTGGAGTTCCCATATTCTTAAACGATGTCATGATATCGCTGGGGGCAAACTTTGTATTAGCCACTGAAGATCTAGATTTTCCCCTCCAACTGATTTGGAAATACTTGCCCCCATTGCACTATCCTGTCAGTAGAAGTGAGATCAGATTATCTGAGATACATTTTTTTGCCTGACTGCTGGCAGATTGGTCATTATTTATGAATGAAATGAGAGTTAATACTGCAAATGAGGAAATCCAGTACTACTGTCATGCTTTGGGCTAATTTAACAAATGCTGCTCTGTTTCAAGTGGGGATATATGTTCCAGAACGGGTTGGGTTATTTAAAAAGCTAAATAAAGGAAGTTCAAACAAGAGACATACAGTAGACTGGAGCTGTCTCTGACAAAATATATTATCACTGGGCTTATAGTCATTATATTTGATTGACTAATAAAACATATAATACCTGGATATACATTTAATAATGCAAATAGAGCAGAGACAGCTATTATGTATGTGGGAATATGTTTTCAGGAAATAACTCTGTTTAATGTTTAAAATGGTTTAATTTGATTATTAAACTGGAAATACTGTAGTTTACTGAAGCCAAATAATCAGCTTAATAGACTTTGTGGAAGCTTTCCAAACAAAGACATTGTTATTGCTGAGAAATAGCACCCTTTGCAATCAATAAGATATTGACCAGTTATACAGAGTAGCATATGCACTTTGGTCATTTCTTCCACAAGAAGCTGTTTTCCTCACAATGAGGTTAAATTAGTGACATACAGGCCTGACATATTAATCTGTCTCCACCTGCTGACATCAGAGCCTTGACTCCTGTGAGGTTAGCGTTTTGCCTGTATTGATCAGACTGAAGCATCGTCTCTGCTAGCTCGTCACAGACAGCTGAATATCCCCCAGCTCTTAACTGGCACACTCAGATTGTGTTGGCAGCATTGCATTCTGGGAGTTTTGGCTTTCCCCAACAGCTGGGCTCAGTTGATCCGAGACTGAAAATCAGACAGATAATCCTGTGATGCAGCCGGCTGGTGTGAGAATCTCTCCCATCCTCTATAGTGGTCCGGTTCTGGTGCAGAGAATAGTCTTCCGGGCGGTGTCTTTTGTGGTTCCCCTCTCTCTTGAATAATTCACAACTCATGAATGGAGCGACACTCTGATTGCACAAGCTATCTTTTTCAGGACGAGGATCGGCGCATGGCTGGTGTACAGGCTCGGAAAGAGGAGGAGAAGAAGAGGGAGAGTCACAAGCAGACCATTCATAAGGTACCGCTCTGATCTGGATGTGCTCCCGTTGTCTTTGTCTGCCTGGATTTTAAGTTAAATTATACAGCAAATACACATGACAGCCTCTATATCAGAGAGTACATTAACAACCTTTTTCATACACTGGGTGTTGTATGGTTAGTTTATTCTTGGTAGAAAGAAGATCATTTGTTGCAAAGTTTCAAAGTACTGAGTGGAGCTACATACTGTAACATTTTAAAACCATATACTGTATTACTGATCTGAGATCTGATTAATAGTGTTTTATGCATCACCTGTATATGTTATATTGTATATAGTTTATTTTGAATCCAGTGCACAGCCAGCATCAGGCCATTATTATTATATTAGTATCCAGGTTAAAAGAAAGGGTTAAGTGAGTATTTGGATAATAACTGACCTCTTTAGCCTCCTAATGGTAGTTTTGGCTTTGGTTTGTTTTTGTTTTTTTTCATTTTGATCAACGTGCCCATCAAAACTTTCAAACATTTGATGGAAAAGCTCTAAAATATTAAGGTCATGCTCAGGATTTGTTGCTAGATTTCCCCAACTTTGCTCCCTCTACTTATGTGTCTTCTAACATATGTGTCTTGTGATTGTTGAGGCTGTGTTTTAGTGGGCTATAAATATACTTTTTGCATGCTAACATGAACTTTCAACTTTTCAAACGTATCCACATCAGTACCTCAGTAATACACAACTCAAGTGCCCTAAGGGAACATTGTTAATGTGTGGGGAGGGATACACTGTCCACAGTGGTACTGTATCTGTAAATGGCTCTGTAAATTATACTTTATTTTTTAAATGGTCTAAGATGTTCTGTCTTACACAGGCATCTGTTTTGCAGTAAATGTATTTGTTTGTGTGTGTGTGAAAGTATATATTGATGTGCCCCTGCTGCGCCTTCACTGCAGTGGTTACTCTTGCTGAGAGATGGTCTCTGTGTGGAACACGTTGTTTCTCAGTAACCTAACTCCTGCTAATCCCTTGTGTTGAGAAAATGTTATATTGAATGCCACAGCCAAGAGTTCATAAGGGCGAAGGAATCACTCTGAATTGATACTGACTCACCCCTGCGTTGGGGAGTGGCACATTCCATGACTGAGCATATCGAAACTACAACTTGGCCAGGAAAGAACAATTGAAAGAGCGGAGATCTTCTCTCTTGCAGGGAATGTCATTTTTACTGCTGTAAGAGCCAACTGCAGTTAAATAAAAATGCTGTGGTAACAGAAGCAAATAAATTGGACCAACACAGGCATATACAGTTTCAGATCTAACTTTAGTAAAGTGGGATATCTGCCAGTAAGGCCAGTAAGCAGTTTTCTTACTCTCTTCAAAAACAAAGCTGTACCTCAGAGACAAGGCAGTAGGTATAAGTTCTGTTGTCTGTCAAGATATACAGAGGTTTCATTATCTTAGTATATGCCCTCTGTGCTCTGCTAAAGAGAATTGTCACTTGAAACCTTCTCTGTCCTCTCTGTGTGTGTGTGTGTGTATATGTTGTGTTCATCAAGGAGAAGCGGCGTCTGGCAATCCGTAATGCAGCGCAGCAGTGGGAGGGTGTCAGGGCCTGCCTGGAGCTGCCACCAACAAATGGTGCTAAAGAAGAAGTCAGTCCAGAGAACAGCCCTGCTCACAGCCCTGCCCAGACCAATGGTCTGGCACAGGAGCCTTCTCCAGATGAACCCAGGTAAACACCAGAACATTAAGTCACATCACATTTCTAGAACTAAGGGAGTCACTGGCTGTTAAGTTACCAGTGTTGTGTGTGATTGTGTTTGATTTGATCTTCAGTACTCCTGAACATTGGAGGGGAAATCTGGTCATGGAATATCTGATGAAGAGGAGCAATTTTAACATAAAATCGTAACCGTTCAGAGCCGTTGGCATACTCATTGTCACCCTGATAATTTAAAACCAGTTTCATGTTTGCAATGTTTGACAATTATGTCATGCTATCTGAATGGACACACAATAGCCAGTGAGAGACATGTCAACAAGATAAAATATATTATGTTATCTCTCAGAAGAGATATCATTTAAAATGACAACCATAAAGAGACATCAAGATTTGTAGCCATTTAGTTTGATTGGCAGCTGAGATGGAGGAAAGTCTATTGATGTGTACCTAATAAAGGGAAGATGTGAGGAGAATGAAGCATGTGTTAGGGTGAGAAAAATGGATGCATATTTTCTGACATGGTAAACTTAATAATTTTGTGTCATATATGAGGCAGTTATTTTCAATCTTGTAGTGTGTGTTTCTAATTAGAGAGCAGAGAGTCTGTACAAGTTCTTCCTATGTTTGTTTTATAGCTGATTTTAAAACCCCTCTAATCTGAAACTGGCTTGATTCTTCTTCATCTGAGAGTGTTCTGAAAATAATAATAATAATATTTTAATTTCATGCTGAGTTGTTTTTTTTTTTTGTTTTTTTTAATCAGACGGGTAAGCCCAGGTTCAGGACCGGAGCGACCATCAGGGGGAACGGAGAGCCGACTCCGCACCAACAGCCGTCCAAACAGCCCTCGAGATCCCAAGTAAGCCAAAGATGCATGTGTGTGTACCCCCTGCCATATAAGTCCAACATAAGCACCTGGCTGTTAAAGGTCAATACATTAGTATTGCAGATTTTATGAGTTTGGTACTCCATGATGATTTAGAGACACATTCATTGTAAACATGAATAAAGGATCAGTTCTCACACATGTATGTAGCCATGCACATGATTGTGGTTTTATTGTCAAGGTTTTGAGATACCTACAATTGTGACACGGTCGATGGAATTTCACTTTAGGCTATGTTACAAGAAGTAACATTGAAAAAGGGTAGACAGACAGACACTCTAAATACATGCTGACCAATGTTAAAAGCTAACTTTAAAGGTCACACTGAGTTGTGTTCACTATCCATCAACCTAAATACTGATATCTGCAAAAACATTACAGAGCACAGAATAATCTACACGTAGAGAGATCATCCGGGTTACAGATCTAATCCCTGTAACAGCTGGTGCATCAAACCCATCTTGAAATATTCTTGAGCAACAAAGTGATCCCTTTACTTACTCCAGGGGCGTGGGTCTTGGCTGCTCCTGGGCTCTGTGAACTCTCTGGGAAAATCAGTCCATGCAAGTCTAAGATGTCTGAAGACAGTTTTCTTCTTCCACTGTCTAATGTGAGCATAGAGCTCTGATATGCACACAGATTGTGATCCAGGTCTGGATGAGTTATGAGGGGGAGGCTGAGATGAAAGTGGGGGCTGTGTCAAGGACTATTATTACATGTTTCAAATATGGCTTTTCCTTCCTGCACCAGGATATGAAAATGGCCCGAAGCGCAATCCCTCAATGGCGATGGCTTTCCTTTACAGGGTCTATTATAACTTCAGTCATGTGGCTTAACAGGTTATGGGGACGAACAGGACTCACACTACTTTGGCTCGTATTGAATGACAAAATAACACAGCCCTTTACAAAGCCTGGCAACACCAGTAACTTGAAAGAAAAACAAGATCTGTGACTAAGTTGAGCTTGTCTTTGTTTTTTGGGGCCTGTGAACCACTCTTGCCTCACTAGTGCATGACATCACACATCAGGTCCTTGAGGGTGTGAATTCCCAGGAAATACTAACAGCAGGAAGAGGTTTCGCACCCTGAAGAGACGGTGTATGGTTTGTTACATGTCATCCATAATCCTGTTACTCCAGAATCTCAACAGATTTTTGGTTTCCCATTCAGGGCTGGACCTGGCACATCCACACATCTGGAGCTGCTCAGTGGCAGCCTGGGGAGCAGGGCAATCACTTGGTGTGTGTGTGTGTGT